TCTTCTCCCGGGTCATAGAATACGTAACACACAGAGCCCTTGGGGTAGCCTACGAATAGGCAACGACTAGTCTTGGATTCCAATTTGTCCGCATTCATTCTTTTAAATTGCGCAGGACAACCCCAAATCTTCAAGTGTCTAACACTTGGTTTCTTTCCGGTCCAAAGTTCATATGGAGTACTCGGAACCGATTTGGTTGGAACCCGATTCAGCACGTATATCGCAGTCTCCAATGCATAACCCCAAAAGTTTGTGGGTAACTCTGTGTGTACGAGAAGTGACCGGATCATATCTTATAAGGTCCTATTCCTCCTCTCTGAAACACCATTTAGTTGTGGTGTAGCAGGAGGAGCTAACAGTGATACTATCCCATTGACCTTTAAGTAGTCCATGAATTCATTAGAGAGATACTCACCACCTCGATCTAATCGAAGGGTCTTAATTTCTCTCCCTAACTGTTTCTCGACCTCTTGTCTGAACTCTTTGAACTTTTAAAATGATTCAGACTTTTGTCTCATTAGGTACACGTAACCATACCGAGAATAATCATCGGTGAATGTAATAAAATGCACGTGCTGGTTATGAGTCCTAACACTCAGTGGACCACATACATCACTATGTATAAGGTCAAGCGTGCCTGTACATCTTTCAAGCTTACCGTTAAATGGTTGTTTCGTCATCTTACCCTGAAGGCGAGGCATTCAAGGTGAATGCTGATTAAAAATTCAATTTGATTTGCTCTTTAGTTACCCCCATGGGTTTCATAATCGTGCATACCACATGCAGCTCCTTCAAATGCTTGTGAGGATCCTCACCTGCAAGACCATGAAAAGTGGGCAAGAGATGTATCAGTCCAGATTTCAATTCAAAATTAGCATCAACATCTAAAACAGGAAAAATTATGCATAAGGGTTGTTGATTCAAATCAGGTGCGGCAAGCTCTTTCAAGGTTCGGTTCCCATCCATGATTTCCACCTTTCTCAAATTAGAACTACCAATAGATAGGGAATCAAAGTCAGGATCGTTCTCTTCAGAATGACTCCGAGCTTCCCTCCTTAACCTGCGCAAAGTCCCCTCTATTTCTGGATCGAACTACAAATCACCTTTCTTAGAGAATCGAGTTACAGGCATTAATCAAGGAAACCCTAATAAACCATGAACGACATACCATAAAAAAATAAAAAAATCTAGAATAAATAAATAAAACAAAAAATACTCTACAAAATTTTTTTTTTCGAAAATTTCAAGAAACTACAAAATGATCACGAGAAGCACAAAAACTGATTAGAAAAACTCCCCGACAACGGTGCCAAAATTTGGCGTGCCGTCGTAGGCACCCAAAAATTAAACCTATACTCGTAAAAATAAATGCAATAGTGCTTTTAAGGATCATTCCCACAGAGAGTATCTAACCTAAATTAT